TAGGAAGGTTTTGGAGCCAAAACCCACTGGTTTGCCCAGGTGCCACCTCGACCTATCCGGGTGAAGCCTTAGTAGCCTCATCTACAAGAGTGGAGAGCTCTCGCTGCTATTCTTAGCCCGGTGGTGACCCTTAGAAGCTGCTTTTTCTTCTTCCTCCTGGATCCCTCGATCTAAGCAGGAGATTTGCTCAAACCAAGTTTGGTCGTGATCTTAACAGGAGGCTACTGGCTCAAGGTCTGACGCTCCTTTGCCTCTAGATCAATAAGAAGTCTCTTCCGAGGCACAGTAGGAGAACCATGTTAGGAACCTTCTACAGGCTACTCGTCAACTAACAAAACCACTGCCAGAACCAAATCTACTTCAATAGAAGGGACAAAGTTTATGTCGGCAACTTGAAGGATAGGGTTATCAACTAAGTTCTCCCAACCCCGAGACCCCTTATAGGCACGGATCCTTTCCAAGCCCTGCACCTCCATGTCTAAGAGCTTCTTTGCCATCGAACCGTCCTTCTTGATCTCTGCACAAGGAGGGCAAGCTAAAATTGGATCAGCGCCAAAGATGAAGAAAATTTTCTCTCTCCATTCCTTGTTCATCTCGATAACGTTGGATACCAATCGACAACCACAGAATGTCTACAAGTAGAACCCTCTTGCCGGCCTTGACGTACACCAAATGCACCAGCATACTTAGCATAGGCTTGATATTAACACTGTGGCAGAAGATGAGGAAGGCCACCAGAAAAATGCAATAGAGTCTGACGCCAGCTACACCGGTGCAATCCCTATATCCCTGAAAACTTTCTAAAGAAATTGGTGCAAGAGTAGGCAGAGGCCATAGTCAAGCTAATGCCAATATATCGGCGCCAAACTGCCACTGTGATGGTAGATAGATTGCTCCCTCGATGGAGCCGACAGTGTGAAGGCATTGGAGATGTCATAGTCTCGCGAATATTTCTCTAGACAACCGATAAGCACCTTCTACTTATATTTCTGCAGCAAATCAATTCTGGCCTCATTGCGGACAATGATGCGCTAAGCACTCAAAGCCATCGGAGCAATCAAGAAGGTGATTGGAGTACAATGAAGCTTTTAGAAGAAGAAAGTTTAAATTCTGGTCGATAGTAAAGAAGAAATTCTAGGGTTTTTTCACGAAGAAGATTGAGAAGAGAAAGGAAGAGTGTATATATAGACAAAGGTAGCTGACACGTGCGTGAAATGGATGACCAGCACGATTTACAGGAAACCGCTAATGGTTTTTGAGAAATGAAGCGATGTCAAACAGGCGTTGTAGCATGATCTTCGCTGATGTCAGAGATGTCAAGTCACATCTGTTGTCTGATAAGAACGGTCCAGATCTCCAAAGCATTATGTTCTATTTTCTCTAGAACTCGGCATTTGCTAAGTCTTAAAGAAAAGGGGCCAATATTATATCCTGGAAACTTATGAAGTCTAGTGGAGTCTCAAAAAGCAACCACATGGTCGCCTCTGAAAGCATCTGCAAACACAACCTGATAACTAAGATAGCCAGCCTACCTCACGACCAAAATCTGAGATGAAAGGCATGAACGACCCGTGATCTGTTAGATAACCGACCCGAGATGAAACACATTCGCCACTCGAACCCAGCAATGCACGTCTTGAACAGTGGGACGGCCCGCCACATCATTAAGGGTCACATTGCATTTAATGCATGAATAGTTCGCCCCTGCACTTCGCCGCCCAATCACCATTAGTATTAATGCAGCGTCAAAGTCATTATGATCTTTCAAACTAGAGCCTTCAAAGCTCCTCGGGCCCTGCCAAACTACCAACGTACCCCCATAAACCCTCTATTGACAGTTGTAACTTCTCTCTCCCTAAGATATGCAATTCTCCCCAAAAGCAAGTCAACAATGCTAGACTTTATGTCTCTCTTCAGATGAATAAGGTTGGTCACTTACTTGAGCGTCGGAGGGCACGTTAGAGGAAACAACTTCCGGAACATCTACCCCTTGTTACGTATGCAGAGAATTTAGCCCAAGATTCAAAATAGGAGAGTCTACCATCAAAGAGGATTAAGGGACCCTCAATCAAGCTCACCTCCACTAAACCACACCCTAATTTCCTTACATAAACACCAATGAAACAGAGGTAGAGTGCTATTAAATTCCATATGCGGTGTTCTTGTCGCTTCCACGTTGTCATATCTATATTCATGCAAGGCAACATAGTTGCATTCGATTAGTCTAATAAAAGTAACTTATAAATTTTTTTTCTTCTATTGGGGAAGATAATCTAGAGGTTTGGTTGAGCTTCACAGCTCATCTTTTTATTTTTATTTTTCTATCTATTTACAATTAACAACACAAAGTAACATCTTAGTATACATATTTTAATAATACTTTAGAATCCTTTGATGGAAATTTTAGTTAAAACATCTAGCCACCAACAGCAATTATTTGGGAATTCAACTGATCAGCACTGCGTAAAGAAAAGTTGAAGCTTCGCTCTCATGCAGATTACCTTCTTAAAAAGAGGAGAAGTAGCCCCACAACATAGTTTAGTCTTCAAGCTTGAGTCTTTGCAATGAATCTATACAGAAGTTGTTTGTACCCTTTATGTAAGAAAAAAGTAGAGAGATGTTCATGTCTGAGGTGTCTTAGTTGTCTTCAAGCTAGGGGTGCAAAAAAAATCACACAGGAGGAAATATGTATATCTGTTCCATTAGGACGTGGATATGGTTACTCAAATCTATATCTGATAGACTACGGTTACATATACGAATATATAATAAAATATCTCAATCTGTATCTAAAATATTCGAGTATATGGTGACAGCATAGTTGTACTAGTTTTAATTCTCAGATTAATGAATTTAAGGTTAATTTTGATGATCTAACCTTTGCTTTTCCGGATACAATGAATATATTCATGAACTCTCTTGTATCATAAGAACTATATTTTTTGCAATATTATATAGTTTTCTTATATCCGTTTTGTATCCACATGTTTATCCGTACCTAATTTTAGTGGATATGAATTTTCCTTACCGAGGCATTTTCGTATTCGTATCTGTGATTGGCAAGCGGATATGGATATGATACTTATCATATCCAAGCCATATCTAAACCGCGTGCAACCCTACTTCAAGCGCCTCAGCTGAGACCAGACAAGCAAGAGCAACTCATATTTGCACCCAGTTACTATGGAAATTTTACCATACGTTGAAATCATATTTGCATTCGTGATTTTTAGTTCTCTAAAATATTGCTCTACTAATATTTTACATATTTTTTTACCAGGAACCTAGGTAATAAAACATACTCTATTATTGAATATAGCTATTAGATTCTAAACCACCTAATTTGTAGTTCTTTTCAATCACCGTTATCAACATGAAGATCTTTGGTTTATAGAAAAGACAAGATGTTTACTTTGTAACCGAAATCAACATAAACAATGTGTACCATCCAATCTAGAATTAGGATGGACATAGTTAACAATCATAGAGTTGTATCCTCAAATTGAAATGATACTTGACAGTCACAAATTAGTTTATTTTACTGAAACACTAATAGTTAAGACATTTGTCCTGAACAATGTTCGAACAAGATTTAGACACCTCCACATAAGTTTTCACTCTGTCCTCTCAACTAATGAACATCTATACTATGCTCCTTGAAACTCCTCCACACCTCATAAATCCTCTCACTTTCAAAATGCCTAGTATCCCCCACAACAAACTTAAACCTCCCCTTTCCCTCCACTTCAACCAAACTCCATCCCGCCTCCTTCGTCCAGCCTCCCCTCTTCATCTCCTTCCTCAAACTACCGACATCCACCCATCTCCTCGCATTCGCATACACATTCGACAATGCCACTCTCCAGACTAAACCATCAGGCTCCAAAACTGCCAACTTCTCTGCTGCTCTCTCCGCAATCTCAACATGACCAAAAACACCACAAGCACCCAGTAAAGCCCCCCAGACATCCGAACTGGCATCAATCGGCATGTTATCAATGAATTTCTCCGCTTCTTCGAGCTTTCCTGATCTACCCAAAAGATCGACCATACAACCGTAATGATCCATATTTGGTTTGATGTTGTATTCAGTTTGCATCATGTCAAAGCAATTGATGCCTTCTTTTGTTAATCCCGAGTGACTGCAAGCTGAGATGATGTTTGTGAATGTTATGGCGTTGGGCGTGCGTTGTCCGAGTTTTTTGAGTTGAGTGAAGAGGTTTAGAGCTGAGCGGCCGTCTCCATGGATTCCATACGCTTGGATCATTGAATTCCATGAACCGATGTCCTTTGGATCTGCATCTTTGAATACTTGTTTGGCAAAATCGAGCCTGCCTGATTTTGCATACATGTCAATGAGAGCGTTACAGATGAAAATATCGGAGTTGAAGCCTGATTTAATTGAATATGCGTGGAGTATTTTTCCCTGTTGCAGATTTGCAAGCTCAGAACAAGCCTGAATCGAGCACAGTATTGAAATGGAGTCTGGCGCTAGATCGCCTCTGTTAATGCTGTGGAGCTCAGTTAGATGTTCTAAGGCTTCAAATGCACGATCATTCTTAATAAAGCATGAAATCATCGTGTTCCAAGATACTATATCTCTGCTTTCCATTTGATTGAATATTGAATTTGCAGAAGAAACACGTTCATTCTTAGCATAGAAATCAATGAGAGAGTTCTCTATGATAACGCACGGAAAGAAGCCGGACTTCATCAGTAGCCCATGGAGTTGTTCTCCACAACTGAAGGATCCTGAAACGGTGCAACCATGAATGAGGGCTGCGATGGCATCAGGATCTAAGCACTCGACGCCGGTCGAAGTCATAATCTTCAAGCCCTCGTTAACAAACCCATTCTTAGAGTACATCTCCGCAAGAGAATTGGGTAGTGCAGATGCTGAGACCAATCCCAATTTCAAAACCCAGCCGTGGACGCAACCGAAGTTTTGATGCTCACCCGTCAACGAACAATCGCGAATAATGCTCAGCAACGTCACCAAATTTGGCTGGACATTATCTTCTAACATCAAAGAGAACAGAACTAAGGCCTTTTCAAACGTTTCGGCAAGCACGCAACCTGAAATTAGCGAACTCCAAGAGACCACATCTCTGCAACTCAACCCATATAAAAATTTCTCAGCGTGTGATATCAAACCAAGCTTTGTGTACATATTGATCAAAGAGTTGGACACGAAGGCATCACCAGAGAACCCATTAGTTATGACGTAGCCGTGCAATGCTCCGCTCAACTTCTCATCAGCTAGCAAAGCACAGGATTTTATGACTGCGGCGACGGTGAATTCATTAGGGGTAAGGGAGTTTTCGTCCGAAAGTAGATCCAAGAAGACGGAAAGAGCAGAGCCAGGCGACCTATTACTACAGTAGGCAGAAATCAAAGATGCCCAAGAGATGATATCTTTTTTAGGCATTTGATCAAACACCTTGCGAGCGCAGACCACTCTTTCCGAATCAGGAAAAGTACACAATGGAATCCTGTTCTGAAGACTGAATAGTTCATTCGGGTCAGGACCACCAATATATCCGAAATAGTGCTCTTGTGAAAGCGGCACGTTTGGGAGAAACAGTGCACAATCAAAAGCAGAAGTTAGCAGCTAAAAGCGAGCTATCGACATAAATCAAAGATGCCCAAGAGATGATATCTTTTTTAGGCATTTGATCAAACACCTTGCGAGCGCAGACCAGGCTGCCGCATTTTGCATAGGCATCGAGGAGGGAGTTGGCAACGCAGAGGTTGGAGCTTAGGAGGCCAGATTTCGCAATGGCGCCGTGGAGAGAGGTGACGAGCTTGAGGTCTCTTCGGCCGCCACAGGAATTGATGAAATCGACAGCATCGGCAGAAGAGAAGAAGAGAGCCTGCAGGTTGGAGGAGGGATGGGTTTGGGCGATGGATGGAAGAGAGGACATCGGGTGAGCTCCTTTTGGATCCACGTGTATTCAATAAAACGGATGACAAAGATTGAAATAATCACGAGTAGCTCGTAGTACGAACATAAGCCTACATGCTCGGCCTGAGCAACTTAGGGCGCGTTTGTTTCTCGGTTTTTAGGTGGGAAAGTGCCCGAAAGTTGCCACGGCAGTCCCATCCGTGGCAGCTTTCGAGCAAAAACGCCTCTAAAAGAGGCGTTTTTCTCCGAAAGCTGTCACGGATGGGACTGCCGTGGCAGCTTTCGAGCTCCCAGTCCCACAACCAAACGCACCCTTAGATACTAATCGATACAATACCACTAAAATAATAATAACATGGTTGCCGGCTTTTTTTTAAACATGTGAATGGTATAGATCAAGTTTTTCCACATGGTGTTCTAATAGAATCCTTACTCCAACTCTTGCAGTGTTTCCTCTCTCTATCGAAAGCATAGTTCTAGCATTTTCAAAATCATTTTAATTAACCTAATCGCATTATTTGGCGTCTTTCTTCAACTCCGTAAGGTCTATCATGGATATAGCTGCGTTTTTTGATGTATTTTGAAGACATAATAGTATGCCTTTGTGGTTCTCTGTCTATTATGTTTCTATTTTGTCATGTTTTTGGTATTCTTTTTTCCTTAATTTGATGTGTACTATACAGGAAAATAAATAGGTAGAGAAAGGAGGGAGGGAGTAAGTATGAAGGTCACAATTCTTGGATGCGTTGAAAGGACATATATGAAAGCTAATACTTCTACTTACTATGCGATGTGATATAATTTATCACTAAGGGTCAATAATTAATGTGAATCCAAGGAAAATTGAATGTCAATGTGAATCCAACATTTTTAATTGCTTGAGATCCTCTCATCCTTTAATTAGTTGATCTAATTTTCTCAATTTTTATTGTTAAAAGCATAAGCCCAAAGAACTTAAGTTATCACTTACAGAAAATATATATTCAACTTATTTCGTTGTATTGTTTACTGGAGGAGCGTTCTATACTGTGCTGAAGATAGTTCGTGGCAAAGTGTTTTGCCCGGTAAGACGAGGTGGTGTTTGTCTTTGTATGAAATGTTGGCACCAAGTCCTTAAAACCTTCCTTTAAAAAACTGCTAGTATTTTCGGTAAGACGAGGTGGTGTTTGTCTTTGTATGAAATGTTGGCACCAAGTCCTTAAAACCTTCCTTTAAAAAACTGCTAGTATTTTAGTATTTTAGTCACGGTCTTATCGCAATTCATCGATATTTTGTCATGTTTCAATTACTCTTATCCGAATACAATTTAAAAGATCTAATGACTTGACTCCCTTCAAAACACACCCTCCCCCACCCCCC